ATTTCATTTATGCTGGAGTTTAAAGTGTTTAATTCATTTCTTGGATGCTATATGAACCTGTTTGTCTTGTTCTGACCTAGGCTTCCGGAGACAGTAAAAAGCACACACTTAGTCCCAAAACCCCTCTTTTTATTTTAAAGGCTGTGAATTCACGTTCATTCACAGCCCGTAATGAGTCACAAATAGTTTGTAAAGAGTCCGACAGAAGTCTGCCAAAGTCTTTCGGGATAAGGCTGATAAGCACCCACCTTTATCTCCTTTGAAACGTTGCCAAAGACCTAATTGGCGATTAGTTTTGAAAGGACACACGGAGCGCAGAGTCAAAACAGAGCTTCAGAATATAAGCCGACCAGCATGAACAAAGTTGCTTCCTGCAAAAGCTCACGTCCGTTTGCTTCTCTTTTATGTCTTATGGGAGGGGCCAATCAACTCCAAGCCTTACTCCCGAGTCGCCCCTTTTGTCTGTTTTTGCCTTCTGGCAGCTCTGCACATGCGTGCACTGGGAACAGGCTCCCCCTGTTCCTCTGCCTCGTTGATGTTCAACTCTGGAGGCGCCGGAGGCAGCGCGTAACTCCCAGGCGGCCCTGGCCCCCTCTCTGCCTCCGACGCAGAGCCCTCGTCCGAGCCTTCCCCAGCCTCCAGGACTGGCCCATGTTCCTCCCCAACCGAATCTGCTGCCAGCTCGGCAGGCCGCCGGCTGACCACAACACCTCACACCACCAAGAACCAAAAACCAACACCATCAACGAGCGATAAACCCAATTTTAATTCCGACACTTCACAGTTCCTGTTTCCTTGCCAGTTGTACTGTATTTCCCTGAAAATAAGACTGGATCTTATATTAATTTTTGTTCCAAAAGAAGTCTTAGGGCTTATTTTCCAGTTAGGTCTCATTTTTCAGGGAAATACGGTACTAAATCTGTCCGTCTGGCTGATGATCTTAACTGGGTCTTATATTTGGGGTAGGGCTCATATTAGGAGCATCCTGGAAAAAATCACGCCAGGGCTTATTTTCCAGTTGAGTTTGAAACAGGTTATTGGATGACAACTCCCATAATCCCCCACCTTCTCCCCATTAAGCCCTGCTCTAATTCAATCAACGGACCAGCCAAATCGAACTGGTGCCTTCCTGCGGACAGAGATTTTCAGCAAAAACACCCCCCAAAAGACAGCCAGTCGCCCCAGTTTTAATTCAGACAGCTGAAATCCCTCTTCCCTTGCTGGATCGGCTGGACAACAACCCCCATAATCCCCTGCCTTTGGTCTTTTAAGACTCCTAATTCAGACAGGCAGCCAAAATCAAGCCACGCTCCAGCTTGGGACGAAACGGATTCTTTATTTCATCCGAGCAAAACAAAAAAGGCAAAACAACTACTGAAACTAATTGACTAGTCCTCAGTGTCAAAATGAAGGGGAATAAAAAAAGGTAAAGGGGAGGTGAAGGATGAGCTTTGGGTCACAAATGAGAGATCTGTCCCGGAGGAACAGGCACTTTGGCCTTGAGGGAGTCTCTCCCGAAATAAATTATTAACATCTGTTTTTTTTTAAAAATTAAAAACAGAAATTGTGGGGGTTTAATCATGGTATATCTTCAGCAGGCAGGCCTTGAGAGTACCCATGTATCGTTCCCAAAGTACTTGATGCCTGCAAGAGGAGAAAGCCAGAGGTCTGAAAAAGTCA